TAGTTAATAAAACAAGAAAAGGTCCTTCCCAAAGGGGAGATAAGTTTTCTTCTTTCCATGTTTTTATTAGAACCTTATCTCCTGGTTCTAACTGATGAATCGCAAATCCTAAAGGTGGTGTTTGGGCCACCATCCCAATTTCTCTTAACTCTTTTAATCTTTTTCCAATAGTAATTACATATTTTTGGATACTTTGATCCTCAATTACATTATTCCCCAAAGGCATTCCTTGAAAATAAGGCATGCCATAGAGCATTTCATATGGTGATAATCCAGTCTCACTGTGTGGTTTAGTTCTTATGTTTAAAAGTGCCAATGGTAGACATTTCGTCCAAGGCATTTGTGTCTCAATCATTAATTTAACCAATTGTTGTTTTATTGTTTGATTCATTCTTTCTACTTTCCCTGAGCTCTGTGGGTGCCATGGAGTGTGGTATTCCCACTGAATACCTAATGATTGACATCATAATTTTATTATCTTAGATGTAAAGTGTGTGCCCTGATCAGAATCAATGTACTGGATTATCCCATATCTAGGTATCAAGTGTTCTAACAACATTTTTACCACCATCTGTGCAGTAGCTCGTGCTACAGGATAAGCTTCTACCCATTGTGTTAAGTGATCTACTATTACTAATAAATATTTTATCCTCCCTACCTTAGGCAATTCAGTGAAATCAGCTTGTACTCTTTCAAAAGGTCTATAAGCTGTTTTTCTCCCTCCCATGGCTGCTTGTCGAAACACTTTCTTGTTACTTTTTGACAAGATAAGCATCCTTGTGTAATTTGCTTGGCTATTTCAAAAATCCCAATACAGCCAAATTGTTTAAGGAAATGATCACTGAACGCCTTTGTACCCCAATGCGTTTGCGTATGCAATCGTTCTCATATTTGCCTGGCATAGGCTTTTGGCAACATCTCTCGCCCATCGGGTAACATCCATTTTCCTTGTTCTAATTTAGCTCCTATTTTCTCCAATTTTACCTGTTCCTCAGGGGTAAACTTCTTCCTGTTCTCCTCTCGTTTTTCTTCGCTGATGTCTTCCTGTGTTTGTATTGCATTAATTTTAGTGACCTGTGTCCTCAGGGCTGCTTCCTGGGCCTCTTCATCTGCTAGGTTATTTCCTCTAGTTCGATAATCTAATCATTTTTGGTGTCCTCTCACATGTACCACTGCTATCTCCTTTGGTTCTCTTAATGCCTTTAAAATTTTCACTATTAATTCCTGATGTATTAGATTCCTCCCTTGAGTATTAATTAAACCCCTTTCTTCCCAAATTTTTCCAAAAGTGTGGACCACTCC